CTCTCGCGAGGAGCCAATCCGAGAGTTAAAGTGCCGAAAGTCTGAAAAGCCAACTCCATACTGACACTTTTATCGAAAAAGCTAATTGTTGTGCAGGGCATTTGCAGACTCGTCGGCATATGAACCGAAAGAAGAGCCGATTCAATTGTCAGCATGCGTACACGAGCATTTATGGACCTGATTGTTTGTACTTTGCGGTACTATTTTGGCTATTGCATCTTTTCCTATATTCCTAAGGCGACAGGCCGGTAGAGAAATCGACAGATGGAGGGGTAGACGAACCGACCATAAACACGAAAACCCAAGAGAAAAGGCCAGATAAATATCCGAACAGATAAAATACAATTTATACACAGGGGAAAATTGATTGATGGCTAATTCGGCGTTAGCCAGAGATAATGGGTGAATGGACTGAGTAGGCGAAGGGTTGATAAAGGCGTTTAATACAGTCGGTATCACTTTTCAACAAATCGTGTTGAAAAATTGTAGAGTATTTAGGCCTGTCTTTTCAAACAGGTACGCTCAAAGTTAAAGGGAGCCATGTCTATTTGAAGAGTTCATCAGAATATACAAAACAAAGATTGGGTACAATGGGGCCAGCGAAATTGGTTATCAGATTACAACCTTTTGTAAAAAAAGTATACAAGCAAAATTAATATTATTACTAGCCTCGATATTATAAATATTCGCGTAGAGGTCAGCATTGGTTGGGTATTGAAACTCAGAAATCTGTTTCTACATTATAATTCATTTATACTACTCACTTGAATGTAAGTAGGAGGAGATATTTAAGGTGGCAAAATAATGCTCTTTCCTACTGTTTGCTTAGTAGGTCATTTTAATGAACAGGGCAATTTGCAGTTTAGGAAGCGTACTTGGCCACCTGCTACAGGCAACAAAGCCCATTTTTTATTCAAGCCAATTGCATAAACAGTCCGTGGAAGTTATTTTTCAGTCAATATCTTTAATCATTTTCGCAAATATTAAGGTTACTCATAATGACTGGTCAAGTAAACTATAATTGAGTTGACTAAGGTGACGTGAGTTCATTCAAAAAGTTCAGGGAGATAGGTTCCCTAAGGTGATATTGAGCCAAGTTACAGGATAAAGTTCTATTGTCAATGTTCACACGCTTTCTGCGGTTCCAATGGCGAGGTGTTATTATGTGGTTGACAGCATATTTGGCATCATGACTGTAGAATAGCGAGTAATGGAGGTGTGTTTTTTATGTCAAGATGATGATAAATATTTCTGGCGCTAAATTTATTGGTC